AATCCCCCCGCCGTCATAAAGCATCCGGCACCCTGACACACAAAAGCAACACCATATGCAGGAAGACAACCTGTATGAATTATAAATTGCCACCGTAAAAAAATTGATTGCCTGGCCCAACCCTTGCCGAAACAGACGTGTTGTGGGGGGGGGGGGGGGGGAAGCTGAATTTTAATTTTTTTTTTAATTTATTTATTTTTTTTTCCCCGGAATTCCATGTGGATTTTAAACCTTGGCTTTACCTCCCAGCATCTCAGCCCCGAAAGAAAAACTCGGCGTTTTCTTGCTCTTGCAGGATTCTCCGTCTCCTGGCCCCGGTGGGAGATTAAGTCATATAGATAAATATAGAAAAAGGGGGGGTTTTAGCTGTAAACACAACGATGCTCCCTCCTTTTTGGGAAGGAGCTGCTTGTCTGAGGGGTGCGCGGGCTTCTGGTGGTCTTTATTTCTGGTGGTCTATTTTTTTCTGCCCAAAAATAAATTAATTCCCTGTGTGGAGAAAAAAAACCCTGGGGATGAAGATCCTCAGCTCCTGGCTGGGATGCTGACCGTGCCGGAGTGAGGGGCTGCTCCAGGTGCCCACAAACCCCCTCTGGTACCCACTGGGGGCTGCAACCCCCCCCAGGGCAGGAGGAACTGCATCGCCGGCGCGGGTTTACCCAGCCACAAGTCCTTCCTCCCTCCCTCTCGTTTATAAAATGAGGAAGAGGAGCTCAGACCTGCCACAAGGACATTTTTCTCCTCGGTCCTGGAATCAGCGGCGTTACCGGCTGCCAGGGGATGCTCAGTGCTGGGCAATGCTACCCTCTGTGGGGGAAAAGGGTGCCTATAATTAATCCTCCCCCCCCAGGAAAATAATTACAAGGCTGGGGAATCGTCTAAAAATGGCATTAAAATACAGGGTGTTTATGCTGACCTGCCCAGGATGACTGAATTAGCAGCGAGGGGGCTGAATTAGTGGCAAAGGGCCCGTCACCATCTCTAGGGGAGCGGTTTTAATGCTCAAATCCCATTAATTCCCAGAGCAAAAGACAAACCAGGGACTCCCTTTTAGGATTTTTCTGGCAGCGCGGTGTCAACAGCCAGGAGCTGGAGCTCACAGGGTGAATGAATGCCTGGACCTCTTCCCTCTTCCCACCCCAAGCTGCTCTAAAGGTACCAATACCAAAATACCCCAAAACGGGGCATTAGGAGAGATTTTTCTCTTTTTTATTTTTTTATTTTTTTTATTTTGCTTTTTTTTGCTTTAAGGTGACATATCCTGATGCTATCCGGGGTGACCAAAGCTTCATCTGCCCAAGTGCCCAAGCTTAAATAGAAATATTTGCTCATTTCCTTCCACTTGCTGTCTTGTTTAAGATGTCTATTCCTGCTGCAAAAGCATCTGAACTCAGGAAAATGCAGGAAAACGTCAGTATGGCCCCAAAAATCCCTTTCAGAGATGCTGGGGTTTTTTTTGCTGGCTCCCTTGATTCAAAGTGAGCCAGGCTGACTTCTTCGGGCAGTGACAACATCTTTTTACCCCAAGCCCTCCCACACACGTCCCTGCAGCATCCTTAGGGGCATGTCCCATCACCCCAAATTCTGCAGCTGGGGGTAACACCCCCTGCGAAATACAAACCCCGACCTTAAAACAACCAGGTCACCCTCCTGCTAAATTTCAAAGCCCTGCACCAAAGCTGGAAGGCACCTAAGAGATTGGGGTTTATTTTTTCTCCATTGCTTGGGACAAAAAAACCCCCAAAAAACCCAAACCAGAACCCAACCACATATTTTTCTCAGTGCTTTTTGCCCAAAACAAGAGGATTTAGGTTGAAATTCCCTCTTCCCCCTCACCCTAAGACAGACTCTCCATTATGCAGCAAAGCACCCTGCTCTTCCCTCTTCACACCCCAAGCTGCTCTAAAGGG